AATTGGATTTTAATTCCTTCCGAACGGGGCCTTAGTGAAATTTTCCATTTAAGTATTGAATTCTAAAAATAAAAAATTTAAAAATTTAAACGGGCGGGGTGCCCGTTACCCATCCCCGCCCCGAACCCGTCCCTGGGAAAAATTCCTTGCCCCGTCCCCTCTCCGAATACCCGATTAAGCGGGTTATCCCCGTCCCGAGGATATCGAATTTTTTTGCCATCCCTAGTCATATGTATATTGTTTGATTATTCAGGTTTTTAGTTACTTTTATTTTTGAAAATCAAGACAAACGGGAAATGTAATGAAAATACATTCTTTCTCGTGAACTTCACGAGTTATTTTCTACCCCACCAATCAACTTTTAGATAGTACATGAGGTAACACACATAATTAAAGTCACAATTATACAAGACATAACATTTGCTTTCCCTGGAGAAATAAGTGCTGATGCCTCTCTACTCCTACCTTTGCTTTTTTGTTTGGATCTCGCTCACGAATCTCGACCATAAGACCTATCTTTTTTGAAGTCAATTTGAACCTGGAGAAACTTCTGCAACAAATTCAAACTAATGTACAGTGAATAAGAAATTTTCAGATCTCAACATTTCAAAAGTCACATGTGAAAAAAAAAAAAAAAATCTTAAAACGAGTTTAACTAAGTGCAACAATAAATGAAATCTAATCAAACTATCACGTTTGTCGTTTGTTGCTTTTGTCATAAAAATGTGTTCTTTTTAAAAATGCCAATTTTTTTTCAAAATATTCCAAACTTGCCTTATTTTACAAAAGATCACGGTGAAGGCTTGTAGTTACCAATATTTCACGATCTAATGTTACTATTCTTCTTAACTCATAATTTATCATTAAAAAAAAGTTATGAACACTCGTTATCTTGACATAAAATCACTTTTTAAGCTTACTAAAACATATTAAGGGGTTATTTGTTTCTGATTCTCAAAATCAATTCTCAAATCAATTCTCATTTTCAACCACATATTTTTCAATAAAATAATATTTTTCTTCACATCAATAATTTTTTTTCTT